TTAGAATTTAATCTTTTTAGATACTTTTATTGAATCCAAATGAGGGGAGAAGGGTGTTTTTTATTTACATTAAATATCTTTAGTAAATTGAGAGTAAAAAGGAAAGAAATAAAAATAAGGACATTTACGTAAATGATATTAAATGTAAATAAGCTTACCAAGCCTATTCAAAGCACTCTGTCTCAATTTTAAAGCCTAGAATGCATCAGATGAATGAATTATCAAGACTAGAGGAGAAAGTCTCAAGCACCTTCAAACCTAAGACAAAAGTATTGATACTTCCACAAGAAGTATAGAGACTTTGGTCGAAAAATTCCAAACAAAACATTTTTGTTTCAAAAGTATCGAGACCAGGGACCAAGGTATTAATACTTCAATGCCAGAATTCAAAAAATAAAGGGTTAAACTTGTCTTTACACTTCCTAAATTATAAATATGTTGCAAATTCCAAGACTTGACATTTTATTTCATTTTCTCAACCATTAGTCACCGACCACCCTTCTCTCACTCTCTTAACTTTGTTCACTTTTTTCCCAGCTTCAAATCCATTTTCTTCAGTCCAACATGATTCCAAACATCTAGCCTTGATTCTTAACATTTTTTGAGGCAAAAAAATGATTTTCCATCATTAAAGTTTATGGGTTTTCATCCCAAGGTTCTATTAAACCCTAAAGTTTTGATTTTTTACCTTAAACATTAGGCTTCGAGAGATTTCCAGCTTTATAAACTTACCAAGGTAAAGTTAACTCAAAGCCTAACTAGTTGAAGTTGATATTCATGGTTAGTTTAGATTCAGTTACTGATTTTAGGATTAACGGTTAAGCAAAGATGTTAGTGAAAGGGTTGTGTTTCATTTATGGAAGTTAAGGCTAGAGAATAAGGAATTAACAATAGATTAATCTTGGATAATGCTGTTAAAAAAGTTGATATTATTGGTGTCTCTATGTGTGGGTTTGGGAACCCATCCACCTCGATGCGGAAAATTTGAAGATAAAGACAAGCTTTAGAGAGATACAAATTTCTGTTGGAAAAAGATGCTTTGCTAATTGATAAAGAGCCTACTACTTATGAGGAACCAATATTTGATATTGATTTTGATAAGTTACTCAAGTCCATGAAATCTGACATGGATGGCATGCATGTCAACCAAGTATGGACTTTGGTATATACACCTTAAAAGGTAAAACTCATAAGTTGCAAGTAGGTTTTTAAGAGGAAGACTGACAAGGATGGTAATATACAAATGTACAAGGCTAGGTTTGTTGCTAAAGGTTACAACCAAGTTAAAGAAATCAATTATGAGGAAACCTTCTCACCTATTGCCATGATTAAATCCATTTGTATTTTGCCTGCTATTGCTGGATATCATGATAATGAGATATGGAAGATGGATGTAAAGAAAACATTCCTTAATGAGAATTTGCAAGAGGAAGTATATATGACATAGTTTCACATCCAAGGAGAGTCCGCATAAAGTATGCAAACTCCAAAAGGCCATTTATAGGCTAAAGCAAGGGTTTAGGAGCAAGAACATCAAATTTGATGAAACTATTAAAGGATATGATTTATCATAATGATCTATGTGTTTACAAGAAGGTAAATGGACAATCAATTATATTCTTAGTACTTTATGTTGGTGACATACTAGTAATAGGAAATGATATAGTGATGTTATAGATTGTCAAGGCTTGGCTGGCCAAAAAATTCTCCATGAAGGATTTAGGAGAATCGACCTATATTTTGGGAATAAAGATCTACAAAGATAAATCAAAGAGGTTGCTAGGATTATCCCAACCCATTTACATAGATAAAGTGCTAAAGAGGTTTAACATGATCGACTTTAAGAAGAGGCATTTGCGTATGTCACATGGCATTCATCTTTTAAAGGATATGAGTCCGAAAACACGAAAAGAAAGCATAAGAATGGACAGAATGCCATGTGCTTCATCTATTGGGTCTATCATGTATGCCATGTTATGTACTAGACCAAATGTGGCGTATGCTTTAAGTGTCATGAGCAAATACCAATCGAAACTAAGCGAGAGTCACTAGATTGTTGCAAACAATATCCTTAAGTACTTACGAAGAACTAAGGATGTTTCTTGGTCTATGGAGAGGTTGAACTCCAAGTTAAAAGATATAGAGATGCTACATTCCAATCCGATAAAGATTGGACAAATCGCAAAATGGGTTCATATTTACCTTAAATGGTAGTGCAGTCAGCTAAAAAAGTTCCAAGCAAGCAACCATTGCAGATTCTACAATCAAGGTTAAATACATCTTCACGTTTGAGGCAACAAAGAAGGGAGTTTGTATTAAGAAGTTCATAACTGAACTTGGTGTGGTTCTTAGCATTGTTGATCTTGAAACTTTATACTGTGACAACAATTGAGCCATTGTGCAAGCAAAGGAACCAAGGTCTCATCAATGGTCCAAACATGTTATGGCATATCACTTGATCAGGGAGATCATTGAGAGAGGTAATATTAACATAAAGAGAATGCCCACTAAAGACAACTTAGCTGACCCTTTCATTAGCGTTTTGTCCTAGCAGAAACATGATCGCCACTTTGAGCGCTTTGGTATTAGATACATGGGTGATTGGCTTTAAAGCAAGTAAGAGATTATTAGTGTAAGCCCTACAAGCCAATTGATTTTATGCTTGTGAAACACCACATTAATTAGTCATATTTCATGTTAAATACATTATGGTTTTTATATAATATATGTGGTATTTCTTTATCCATAAGTTTATTTATAAAGAGTTATGACAGACTTATGTAGAAAAAGGCATTGGAACATAATGGCCTTGCAAAGAAATTATAAAGTTATAATTATGATATTCTTATACATCAAATCTTTGTTCTTAAATATGCTATTTATCATTGTATTGTCAAGAATAAGAATATTGAAAAGGCTTAATGATTGGTACATGGTAAGCCTCTTTAATTTGAAAGTAAGCAATCGATCTCATAGGTTGAAGTATGTGAGATATTTTGGGATCGTATGTGGTTGCTTGTTAAAGAACAAGTTCATTGAATATGATCCGCTATAAGAGTTCCATTTGGTATTTCACTCAGGTGCTTATGAAAATACTTTCATTTGTCAGTAGTATAGGTAATCCTTAGACTTATGATACCAAGTCATCTTGTATGTGAATTCATATGCTTTGATTTCACTCTTATAGGTTTGAAGGTGGCTAAAACCCTAAATAAGGTGCTTTTGGGTATAGCATAAAGCATGTGAAGATGAATGAGTAGTCCAAAGAGGATTCATCATCCTAAGTGATTTGAAGGGGACATATCTCATTTCCTTTTGACTTATATTGACTAAAAGTCTTTGGCCAAGGCAATCTTGATACATCAATATGGAAGCTGTAGAACTAATATGTTTAAGTTAGAAAGTAGACACTGAGTCAGGCTTTCTATATATTCAAGATATATGATGAAAAGGTCGAATTACACTGAGATATTGTACACTGGCAAGTTAATTAAACCATTTTAACTTTATTGACATTTGAGTGGTCATGATGTATTGATAGATGTTGTTCATGATCTGTAAATATAAATGTTAATACTTAATTGAATTAATTTATATTTACTACCAACATATTGGGGGCTTAAAGGATTACACACAATAAGATGACAATGTGAAATGAAAATGGGATTTGTATTTAATTTGAAAACTGCAATGTCAACAAGGACTTGTTAAACTGCTTAATTAAGTGGGAAGACTAAGATGCAATAAACCGAAAGGTTAGTCAACATTTTAACCTAACTATAAATACTTTATGTTTGTGCTGCACATGGTGTGAGATTGTGAGAAAAAAAGAAGACAAGAAAAATAAAAGCCCTAGTATATGCGGGTCAAAATGAGCAAGTTAAAAACCTTTTCGAAAAAATGGAATGAGGAGATGTTTTGTGTGGAGGAATATAAAGGAATTGGGGAAGAGGATTGAGGTTATTGATGGTTACGGGGACGAGAGGGAGCTTGGTTAGGAGGAATAGAGAGAGAAAAAAGAGCATGCTAGGGAGTTATGGGCAGCTCATCATAATTGAGAATCGATTTGGAGACGCCAATTGAGGGTTAGGTGGATTAGGGAGGGAGATTAAGAAATACGAAATATTTCCACTATAAATCCAAATCTAAAGTCCACCAGAATATGATTTTTGGATTGAATATGGATGGGAGATAGGTGGACTTGAGAATAGTGAGAAAGGAGGTGCTAGAATATATACTACAGGAGGCAATTTCATCAACTAATTGGCTAAGTCCGATTGCCTCGGATATGGAGTTTCGGAAAATAACACATGTTGATAGAGCTGCCTTGGAGTTTGTGGTGACAACAGAGGAGTTGAGAGATGCCGTATGGGACTATGAAGGGTCTAAATCTTTGGGATCCGATGGCTTCAATTTCATTTTCCTTAAAGAAAACATGGAATTTTTTTAGAAACTGACCTATTTTCTTCTGTTTCTTATTTTTTTCGAACACAAAAACTTGATAAAGGATTGAACTGATTGTTCATAGCTCTTCTTTTGTGTCTTATTTTTATAAAAGAAAATTTGTTTTCGACATTAAATCCTTTTTTTCTTTGAAAAGGACATTAAATCTATTTAGTTGTATGAAAATACATCATTTTCACTTACATATATTTTGTAAATTTGTATTTTGAGTTAGTTGAGCAATTGGTTAATTCGATTAAATTAGTTATAAAATTTTTTTAACCTACTCAATGGAATTTCATATAAATATTAACTGAACTAATTAACTTTACTCATTGAGAGACCCCCTTAATTGAATTAATCATTTTAATCAAATCAAATAACCAACTTCTGTCAGTTAAGTCAATCTTAATTGAATTTTGCTCACTTCTTTCTTTAAATGTTTATTAATTGAAGATAGACAAAAATATGATCTATAAAATTATACTATTTTTATTGTTATGATCGTGATATTCACGATTAAATCATTTACATGCAACACACGTTGCATTAGTACATCCTGAAAGTCCAAACAAGAAAGTTTTTACGCTCTCGTTGGCTGGTATCATTTTCCTTTGCATCTCCATCCTCGCTTTTCTTTCTGTCCTTTTTCCCATTTCGCCAAACGCATTAGAAGTTTTAATAGCATGAGAAAGTTGACTTCAAGATGGTAGTGCCAGAAGTTTCATATAAAAATTCTACCAAATGTGTCTGCCAATTGGGCCGGCAGAGCAGGAGGCATGAGGGACCGTGGGCTCACAAGCAGGCTATGCTTTTCTTCTTGATCTAGCAGTTGCTTTCTCGTGGAATTAGCTGTTGCTAAGGTTTCGTCAACAAAGAGTGGACAACAACACCAGGAATCGGAATTGCTTGAGCCCGAATTTAAGAGATATTCTGTGTTTGTTGGTTCATTACTCATTGAAGCAGAAACCATATCAAATTTCTTTTCGTGTACAAATAGAGGCTGCATGACTGAATCTTCAGCGGTGGTAGGCTCATTCATCTTAGCAAAGTTGTCTCCAAAGGTCGAGATTTTATGACATTGCGAGACCCTTGAAAAGCCACTTCCTTGTGGAGGCTGGATAGTTACTCTCAATGAACCTAGGTGATAAACTTGACTTTTCAATATACCTGACTAGATAAATTGTTGTATAAAAATAAATAAAACAATCCATTAATTTATACAAGACAGGTTCGACCTACCTTCCTGGGTAAGAACAGAGGAATCAGGAGACAAGGGCACCATATTTGATTCAGGCCAGGGCATTGGAAGAGGACTCAATATAGGGTAAGTTAGAGCAAGTTCTATTTTCCAAGGTGAAACTCTTTCCGGAGGAGTTGTGCTACAAGTTCCATCCCATCTCACCTAAGAGAAACATCAGAAGATTGTTTCAACATTTTCATAACTCTTAAGAGGCAACATTATTTGTTTTAGCGTTTCAAAAATTGTAAATAAGCATAAACATCTTTTACACCCTACTGAGAAACACAATCTAAATACCTTGAGGCATCTCCATTTGGAACCTGGCCACTTTATGGGGTCAGCATCTTCAATTCCAACAATGGTACCACTAAACTCACAATAACAAATAGAAAAGAAATAAACAGAAAACATAATTCTGAGGAAGGTATTTTCAATTTAACTATGAAGAGGACATCATAGAAGAATCAATAGTACTCTACAATTTTGATGTAGCAATAAACTGAAGTAGTATTTTTCTGAAAATATTAAACAAGCCATACCTCTGCTCTGGACATCCCTCCCAGTTAATTTTCATTTGGAATCTCATCCCTATCGTGTAATTGTTCTTCACTGAATTCATGTACTGATCAATTGGAATGATGAATTCTGCAGGGCTTGTCCTATAACCAAAAAATAAACAAAAGGATTACAACTTAGCATAAAGGATAAGAAATACAGGAAATTGCGAGGACTTGGAGAAAAAGAAACCACTACCATACCTAGGTTTGTAAGATATGGTGAACATGGTTCTTCTTGCCAAGGCCTCCCATGCAGTAGCAAGCACTGCAAGGTACATATCAGGAATTGAAATTGAGGCGGAAACATTGCTCCGTGGCTTCATCGCACGTCGCACACCAACACATAGTTCTCCATTTTCACCTCTAGAATTACATATCAATACTATGTATCAATTCCCATATTGAAACAGTGAATCCAATCTAAAACCCAATATCTCATCATGATCATAAGGTTGAGGACGAAGGAGAACCTTAGAAATACAAACGCATCCCCAGCACCAAGCCTTTTGGAGCTGACAAAATCCTTCCAACCACTTGTTAGCAAGTGCCTTCGTGGTTGACCTACCAAGCCCATCATCATGTCAATCAAATATGAATAAAAAGTCCATTATTCAGCCTTTAAAGCATTACCCCTATAGATATGCGTGAAACGCCACTGATTTCCTAGCAAATCCCTGGCAATCAAGTCCTGGCTAGGCGGTTGCCTTGACATGTCCTGTCAAACATCAAACCGAAGACTAAACTCCTGTGAAGGAAACCGTAAGGGATTACGCAACGCACGAAGATTAACACGAACCAATTGTGGGAGACATTGATCTGCAAAACGCATGGGCACTGAAAATCCACCATGGAGGCTTGTATCTAAGGCAGTCAAGGTTTTGCAGAAGGAATGTACAAGGAACTCGGGCAGTGGGGGAAGTGGGGGCTCCATCTCTGCATCATTCTCTTCTTGCTGGAGTGATTAGATTGAGGACAACAAACTTTAAGAATCTCGACTCTATATCAAACTTCTTAATGTAAAGCAACCAAGAGAAAATGAGATCACACTTACATTTATTTCAGGCAGTAAGGTTACTTGTGCAAGCACCTCATCAGTCTCTGGATCAGCCTAAAATTAACAGCAAAGCAGAATATATACCGATACAGGTACGAACCCATATAAATAAAGTCTAAACAGAATATATCTACCTTTAATTGGACGTTAATTACACGGCAGAGGATCTTGGATGGAAGATCGCACCTTGGCAGGTCTATTACCTGATTAGTAAATGCCTCAACCTGATTGAGCAAATTCATCCATATTAAAGCAAAACTGACAAAACAAACCTGAAAATTAAATCCGAAACAGGAAAGAAAAGGAAATTGTAGGGGAAGCAAGAAGATCAAAGGCTCTTGAAATCTAAAAGGCTGGAAAAACAACAGGGCTTTCTTCCAAAATCTATCAGTGGAATCTTGTATATATAAACAAAGTCAAGAACATATGGAAGAGCAGAAGCTTGAAGAAAACCTGTTCCAAGTGTCCTTGAGGAAAGTAGAAGGCACGTTCTCCTGCACGAGGAACGGTCACCAAAGGACCAGAACATGCATGCCATAGAGCTTCGTAGAGTGCCGTTTCCGAGTCTGATGCATGCACAAAAAAGAATTTATTAACCAATAGACATCAAAATACAGAACACAAAAATCAAAAGCAAAACCCATCTCATTGTTTCGTTTAACAAGACAGAACCAAAATCCAGCTGAATTTATTAACCTCTGATGGCATTTAGATATGTGAAATGACTGTTTTGAGACTCCATGGGGAAGCTGTAAGTCGAGGAGAAAGAGCCGAGAGACAGTAACTTTCCTTCTCTCTAGTGAGTCAAAAGACTTAAAGCAAAGGATGGTCGAAGGAGCGAGCAATCATGTCAACAAAGGCCAATTTTGTAAGACCGCTACTTTGATAGGTTGTGGGGTAAAGGTTGTAGGAAGTTAGTTTTTGTTTTCCCTGCAGAAAAACAAATGTCTAGTCATCGTTCTTGTCACTTTGATTAAGCGATCGTAACATTTTTCCAAGAAAAACTTGGCACCTTTTGATTTGTAGCATTATAACATTGTTGATTTAATCATGAAGTTACAATTTTGTATAAGGATCATCAATTGTGATATAATTGTCATTGTTTTCCTTATTGTTATCATCAATTAAAAATTGAGAAAGCTTTAACCTATATTAACCAAAACTTTGTTCACAGACGATGTAGTGAAAAGGATTTTGAAGTTTGTCTCAAGCTATTTGACCAAAATATGATCTTTTCATTCATGGAGAGTACCCCTAACCTTGCAAGACATAGAACTACGCACAAGTGATTTTTCCTTTAAGAAATGGAGAAGTATTATTAACTTTGTAGAAAGATTGTGAGCTGTGACCAATGAGTTTTACATAATTAAAGTTAAAAATAAAATATTTTTTACTTCTAATTATCATGATTTAAATTACACTACTATCTTTTTCTATGTTACATATTCATAGACCGATTTACCATGTGGGCAATTGGGGGAGTTGCATCAACTAAAATAATTTTCTTTTTGTAGTATTATGTAAATTTTATAAGTTCAAGAAAATTTTAATTTTGTCTCCATTAAAATTTAATTAGTTTTTCACTTTAAATTGTATTTAGGATTTTATTGCATAAGTATGGTTCACCTTCTAAGCAATTTTACTTTTTCAAAAAAAAAAAAGAGTATAATAGCAGTGGCAGATTTAAACATTGTAATAACAAATTTTAACCATGCACTTAAAATTATAAATATTTGTTAACATGTAAATAAGCAAATAAATAAATGAAATATATTAAGTGATTTATCTTGCATGGTTTCAACTTAAAAGCAATATTCTCTGACAAAGATAAAATCAAAATATTATAATTTTTGTGCATTATTAACATAGTATGTTATTACATTCAATAATTTAAGTATAAAATTAACAAAAACACACACACACACATGTATAGAATTTTTATCAAAACGAAAAAATGACCAACAACAAAAATCACTTTAGGAGAGAAAAGTAAGGGCAAAGTAAACTCAATATTTGTTTTTTTTAAAAAAAAGTAAGGGCTTTGAGACCATATATAAATCCTAAAAATTTTCTAGGTTTTTACGTGGTGATCTTAAAATATGAAAAGTGAAAAGTCTTAAATCAATGATTTTTAAATCTTAAAAATTTTCAAAGAAAGGAAGGATATGTAGGATAAGATGAAAAAAAAATAGAGCATGTTTCGTTGAAAAAATTTAAAAAAAAAAAAAAAGCCCGGTAAGCTTCGGGGAAAGGGTCAAAAGCTACTTTGATTTTAGATACAATACTCATGTGTGTTTTTGGTTGGGAGGAAGGGGAATACAAATTTGGTTCTTTGATTAAGGATTTCCTACTGCTTATATTGATGTAAATGTTTGTATGTGATTATTAAGGTGACACTTTTCAAATTGTGATGAGTAATTTAAAAATGAATTAATATTTGATGCATTGATAGTATGCAGCTTTTATGTATTGTCAGTACATCAAATATTTATCCTTCAAATATTTCCCGGTCAACATAAGAATAAAAAACTTAACATAAATTTTTTTTTTCCATTCAAACAAATATTCTATTAATATCAAAAATGAGAAAAATTATGCTGAGATTCAACCTCATACTCAAATGTGAAAAATAATTAATAAATTAAAATATATAACGCAGCGAAAAAAATAAAATAGTATTTAATCAAAAAAATAATCGAATCTTACAAGATCAATGTTTGTGTTTTTCATGTAACTTTCAAATAAATTATAAATACTCATAGGTTTAAAAATTACATACCTTGCTCTAAATATCGTAATCAAGAGTCAATTAAATCCAAAATCTTTACTTCTTTACTTTTAGGATTTATTAAATCTACAACCACTCAAGTGTTTGGCCTCTAACAATAATCCACTCAGTGACTGAATAAGCCATTCTCCAAGATAGAATTTTACTTGTACTAGTAAGTTTTGTTTTTAAAACAAAAAGATCAAAATTCTTACCGAATCTTATTTTTGTTAGACAAAGAAAATTATTTTTTTCTTATTTTATGAAATGGCTGAAAAGTGGTTGGAGGCTTCAAGTTTTTAGTTTGCTAATATAACATATTTATATAGCCAAACTAATTTGTAACCCTAAATATAACAGTTGTATTTTAATTTAATTAAGTCTCTAAGAATTTAATTAATTTTTCACTTTATTTTTATCTCTTTCAATTAAGTTCAACTTAATTAATTATTCTTTTTTAATCCTGATCATGTCACTTAATGTGGGTGACCCATTAAGCTTCTAACATGTTGGCAATAAATATAAATCATAATCAAATATCAATTTGATAATTAATTTATATTTATAGATCATAAGCGGCATCTAGCAATACATCATGACCACCTAAATGTTAGAGAATCAATTAAAGATTTTGATAAAGCCCTTCAGTGATAAGCCTCTTAGTGCAATATGGTCCTTTCATCAAATATCCTCGAATATGTCATTAAGCATGGCTCAGTGTCTACTGATGACATTTTATATTAGTTCTCATAATTCATGACTAACCTTATGAATTTAGGAAACTAACTTTCCTCAAATTCGTCTTGCTTTGGCCAAAAACTTTATACAAGTTAATCAAGAATTGAGAACAAGTGAGATATATCCCCTCATATCACTTGGGGTGATGAATCCTATTTTGACTACTCATTCACCTTCGCATATTTTATGGTATACCCAAAAATACCATGTTTAGGCATTTGGTTGCTTTCAAACCCGTATGGGTGAAATCAAAGTATGTCATCTCCTATACAAGATGACCTGATATCTCAAGTCTAAAAACTAGTTGCACGACTATCACATGAGAATATTTTCCATAGACACTTAAGTAAAATACCAAATACAGTTCTCATAGCAGGTCATATTCAGTGAATTTGTTCTTTAACAAGCACCTACATGTTATCCTCAAGTATCCCATATACTTCAATTTCTGAGATCAATTGCTTACTTCTCAAGTAAGGAGGCTTAACATATACTAGTCTTTGAGCATTGTCAATGTTCTGTCTTGACAATACAATAATCAGAAACAATTTTAGAAACATGGCTTTGATCATAGTGATCTCATAATTATAACAACTTTATAATTCTCTTACAAAGCCTTTATGTTCCATGTGTTTCATCCAATTAGTACTTAATAACTCCTTATTATTGCACTAACATGAAGGAAAACCACTATCATATAAAATTATATGATTAAATATGCATTAAATGACAATAGATATTCCTTAACCAATCTAATTGGCTCAATGGCATATACCAACAAATTGATAGCCCAAAAAAAAAATACAATTGTCTTAAGACACATAAACATGTACAAATAATTTGATATTAAGTAGCCATTGAAGAAATCCAAATCTCAAAAGCCATAATTATCCCCAAGCATGAAACATCTTAGATTTGTAAACACCAAATTTTGCTAAGGAATTTGTAAAAGCATTAATTAGATTCTTTGGGATTATATACAAAATAATATTGCCAAAATCATATTGTCAAATTCATAAAAAATATATCATTTATCACATGGCTTTAACTTCTTATTGTGCACCCAAGACATAAAAACTTTGAAATTTGATTCAACAAAAAGAGTCTTCTTTCCAACCTAAAATGATGGACAAAAGACTTGCAGAGTAGTTTTGTAGCCATTTAACTCTACAAAGTTAGAATCATATAATTCAAGATGGTTAAAGAAAATTCTAATGACAGAACCAGATGAATCACTTACACTATTAAACTTAAGGACATTATCGACTGAAAACACCACCAATAATGTAGAAAATTCCATCAATACAATGGTTTTTTGTCAAAATATTTTGCTAATATAGTAATCGATGAAGGTGTAGTCGGTAAAACCATTTCATTGGTATCGGAGTTTTTTGTCAGAGATATACCGACAGCTTATTCTCTTAGCATTGCTATGATTTTGTTCATGATAGAATTAGTTAGTAAGCACATAGGTTTCTCAACAAATTTGTTGGTAAATTATTGAAGGATTTGCCAAAATACACCAACCAAAACACCGACGGAAATGGCCTTTTGCAATAGTTATGAAATCTATAGGTAAATGTGACAATTTTCATTGGTAATTTGTGAACTTGTGTTGGAAATATCTATCGAATGCATTCACATTGAGTGTCAATTCTATTAGTAATGACTGCAATTTTGTTAGGATTGTGAAAAGATTTATTTTTTTGAAAATTGAAATTGATTGGTATTTTTATCTGTTGTTATTATTTCAATTGTGTTAAGATTCGTTGATCAAATAAAATATAAATAAAAAATTATAAATTATTAAAATATAAAATAATATTAAAAATAAAATATCAATTATAAATCAATTAAAAATACAAATAATATTATTGTGTTTGCACAAACTGTGTGAAATCTAATAACTTGTTATCCGTTGCTACAACATTTCCAGATTAGATGGCCTCTGTTGCTTTGATGATGAACTAGAGGCATGTCCTTTCACATATTACATCAGCTATGTAGTTGTCATCTCTGAATTCTGTAAGGAGGTCTTGACTGTAGCTACTTCTTACTCGAGAGTATCCATATCCTCATAAAATAGTTGCTCACCTATAGCACTGACGAGGGTAGGACCACATGTAGACTTGATGTTGGAATACACGTGTTAGTTGCTCAAGTAATGATGCAGTTGGCACATAGTGCCAAATCCATAAATATAAGTGCTAGTGGTCTACACCCCTCCAATGGCTTCAGACCATATTTACGAATCGAACTCCAACTGATACGAGGACTTCTCACCATACTTCTCTAATAAAAAGCATAGGTTTCCTTAAA